CTGCATCGGTCCGACACGGTGAGATGCTTTCCGAGGCTCTGATATTCGGCGACCCAGGCCGCTTATATGATTTTATCAACGAGCACCCGAAGCGTCATGGTTGCAGTGGTGCCAAGACTGGACGGGGCGTGAACCAACGCTGGTGGGGATGGGACAAGATGAGGATTTGCGATGCCTGCTACCACGGCGGATCTATGACCCAGAAGAGTATCGTTAAGAAATTCCAGTTGCGGGGGGAGAGAGATCCCGTGGAGCGGAAATGCGATCTCGCCTCGCACTCCCTGAGATGGCTTTTCATGGAGAGAGACGTCACTAGGCTCCTCGAATATGCCGACAGTAGAACTAGTACTTGATAGATACAACTGCGAGGTGATGTAAAACTCGCACAGAAAGCTTCTGGTTTCCCCAAAAGCTGGCAGCAAATGGCTTCTAGATTAGTTTGTTTCTCCAGTTCTGGGTTTCCTTCTTGATCCTTGTCGCTTTTTCTTTCCTCATGTTTCCTTCGTACGGTTGTTTCTTTGGGATTGATTGTCTGCAGCTGATACCAAATCACTCCTTCATATGGAAATAGCACTAGCGAGGTAACCTGATTTGTTCAACGACGTACGTGCAATATACTCGCATCTCAATCAGCAACGAACGTCATGAAATAGGTTCCTGTATCACCCTTGAGGCCGAAACCAATTTTTGCCAGGTGTTTCCTCCCGATTTATTACCAAAAATCCAATGTGTTCAAAGGCTATTGCTGCTTTTCTTCATCTAATGTAATTTATCATGTGCTCACTCTGCTCTAACTAGGTAGATAGACTCCATGAAAAGAGGCAACCGTTCAAAAGGTTCTTGCTAAGGACACAAGAGTCAACAATGTGGCAGCGATGAAGAATTTATAATATTTGCTTGTTGTTAAAATTAATACATCGTAAGATAAATAATCACGGGATATTATTTCCGATGCCGCCCACTTCCCTGCTTCATTAATCCAATATCCACCTAGCTGAAAGACGGCAACTGCCTGCACTCTTTGAACAGATGCCGGATTCATATTGTCCTGGTAAGGATCAGGGATCGCGCTAGAATTTACCTAAATTTTTAGTGCCTGGAAGCAGGGTTGTCCGGATCGAGAAGCTGAGAAGGAGAACCATGTTGATTATCTCAGCGGGATTTAGTTATTCACACGGTTGGTTTTCGGTCCCGTCCACCTCAAGATTGGGGTCACTAGACGACCTGGTTGAAGATAAATTCTCAATCTCTTCGTAGGCAATATCAGCTCATCAAGACTGGAAATGGTCGAGTTTTGTCTTGACTTCCTTTCTAATCCTGTGCAGTCAGTGTTGAAGTTTCACCTTCCAAACCGGGAAGGCACGATGACTTCAGAGAAACGACTTCGGAAGATTCGGAAAGTCTAGGTAGAATAGCCCACTGATTTGTGCCCTCATAACGAACCTCGCTTGGATAGACTGCCAAGGATGCCTGTGTTTGAGCTTGGAAACAATTATCCTTTTTGAGAATAATGATCCTAGCGACTAGGCCCTCACCCCGGCTTATGCTGTCAGCTTAATTACATACCTTTGCTACCCCTCCCAAAAATAGGTCCTGAAACGCACATGGTAAGCAACAAGTGCCGGCTCAAACGTAGGTCCTTCTCTTTATCACTCCGATCACCCCTCTAAAGACTCGTCTTTTACCTTGCCCGTGGAGGAGATGTTTGATCGTGGTTTTCTACCATTGAGGCACGGATCAATACCCAATCAACATCGAGAGGTCGCTTGCTGGACTGTTTCCGCTACTGTATACGCCCAATATGAAGACCTACGCACTGCGTATCCGGTTTCGATTTTCGGCGGTGTGTGCGGTTCTTCTGTTTACTAATCTTGCAGCTTCACTTTCCCCCATCTCCGTAAACGGCGCAAAGCTCTACGACGGAGACGGAAAGCAATTCTTCGTCAAAGGTTGGCTCTCCAGCTTGCTCCCCTCCTACCCCTTAGGCTATACTAATCAAAGGCTATTTGCTCTAGGAGTCATTTACGCGGGAAAAGGAGAGCAGGATGTCTTGCTTGACGGTAAACAATGTCAGATCGACGCTGGACTAATGAAGAACCTTGGTGTCAATACCATACGAGTTTTTGGGGCCGATTCTACGAAAGACCACAAAGACTGTATGGAAGCTTTTTCAAGCCAGGACATCTACGTTTGGATGGATTTGACTACTTCCTCCAAAAGAATTGACGCGGTGAGTAAATGCGAGTCATACGTTCAAATAGTGCACGCGAATCTCACTTTGCATTAGACAAAATCAGGATGGACAGCCGACTTGTACAACAACTTCACTTCCACCGTCGACCATTTTGCCGAGTATGACAACATTCTCGCCTTTACGCTTGGTGCCGAGGTCTTAGATAATACGAGTACGTTGGATGGCACAATCGAGTGATATAGTCCGAGCGCCTAACATTCTCAAAAGCAAAAAGCAGCGTTGGTGCTGTAGCCGTCAAAGCAGCTGCCAGGGATATAAGAGCATTTAGAGATGCCAGAGGTTATCGCCAGATACCCGTTACTTATTCTTCAGGCTCCGTCGGGCCACATTTATCTCTATCCGGACAATTCCTGGCGTGTGGCGACGCCAAGAATAGAATCGAGATATTCGGAATTGACTCTTACAGCTTGTGTGGCGATTCAACTTCCACATCATCTAGCTTCGACCGAATATACGAGACCTTTGAACAGTACAATATCCCGATAGTATTCACAGAGACGGGCTGTGTCGCAGATGGAAACAGCAAACGCGATTTCAGGGAGATCCAAAGGATGATGTCAGCTCTTTTTCAGAATAAGTTCTCTGGTGCCATCGTGTATGAATGGGCTCAGCAGTCGAGCGATTTCGGGCTTGTGGAATACTCGGACAGCGCCCGAACGGGGACCCCTTCGATGCTTGACGATTACAGCGCGCTTTCGACCGTATTCTCGACCATCAGCCTTCCCGTGACACCCGTGTTGTCTTATACAGCGACTGAGACTGCACCCGCGTGTCCCACATTCAATTCAGCATCGAGTTGGGCAATCCCTGGAGATGTCATTCCTCCCACCTCTATAAGTGGAATCGATGTTGGTACGGTGACATCTCGCACGACAATTGCCTCGTCGTCAAGCTCAAAATCCGCTTCTCAAACGGGAACAGGCACGCGCACCAACATGGAGACTGGCACCGGCACTGGCGCAGTTTCCGAGGGATCAGATCAAGGCGGACAACAAGCTGCATTGTCGGGTGGCGCTTTGATAGGGGTCATCGTTGGCTGCGTCCTAGCAGCACTTTTGATATTGGCGATAGCAAGCTTTTTCTTCATGCGTAGAAGAAACTCAAGGGATATTCAGGAAATCAACCAACCCCGGCGTGGATCTCCAGATGCAAGCGAGGGGCTTCAGGTTGACCAGGGCGACACTCTTTACTCTACGACGGTTGTCTCATCCAAAGGGGAAGATTTCACAGAAAAGATTGAGTTGCCAGCAAACTCGATCGGACGCAGGACACCACTACAAGAGTTGGATGCGACACCGCAGAATTTGAACCTGGGAAAAAGCGACGCGGACGTTCGTCATATCCCGGCAATGAACCGTTCCCCCCTGAGCGTCATTAAGGGGTTTGCCCCAGCAGCCAAGGCGTCATCTGTCTATGAAATGCCGGATACCAGCTTAAATCATCCGGCACGTGCTCAAGGAAAATAGCAAGTACTAATTTTCAAATTTGAAATTTCTTTTTCTGCAGATGATGCCAATCATTGTGATCAGAGATTATGCATGTATGTAACAAAATCCCAAAGTGTCAATAAGTTAGTAAACTGCGACAAAATGTAATTATTACACTTGCTGGAATACAGATCCGATGTCTATGTATAGTTTCGTATTACAGAGTAAATAGCGAGCAGAATTTTGATTCGAACTGACCTAGCCCGAAACACAAACTGATCCGCCCAAATGTCATGAAGACCCCTTATCTGTCCATCTTGAACATGGATAATCTTCCAAAAAAAAAAAAAAAAAAAAAAAAAACCAAGCCGATATTTCTACAGCCAACATGGGGTATAAATCGAGCGATACTGGACGTTGGCCTCCCTCATCGACATACGATCTCATGGTAGGTGGGAAGAGTGAAGGAAGTTGTCATGGCTTTCACGCGTCGAAAAAGGCGCCATATTGACATGTTGCGCCGATCTCTGTTAGCATATAAAATGCCAAGTGAATATACCTACGGTCAGGAGAAGAGGACCCTGAACGTTGATCCGTCTTTTTTCTGCCCCAACAATATATTCATCACAAGATCGGTCGTTATTCTGATGCCGTCGCCTCGTCTCGGTAGAACGTGGGTAACTCAGCACCCGGCTGAGCTTCAGTAGATCGCAAATATCGGCCGTTGTTCATTTTTGGAGTTTTTTATTGATGATTCGAGCGCCCCCTATGCCTGTGACACCGAAGTAGCTGCAGTAGGATGAGATATCTCTTTATATGTTGTAGTTTCTATCCGGGTTGCTTTTGCCCGGGAAAGGGCGCTTGCAACACGCGATTGGCGGTATTTGCTATCTCTTCTTCGGAATATCCGCAGATACAGTCGGAGTGATGGCAGTATAGAAATTATGAGGGAGGTGTGGGCGTCGGTAATGAAAAGAGCCTCTTTATCGTATATCAGCTCCGATCTTGCAGCATGAAAGTGACTAGCGACTTACGATCTACGGCGAAAGCGGTCGACGGCGCAAACGGTGCGTGGACGATGAACCATCTTATAACGGTAATGCTGATTGCAATGAATCCGAGGCCAAAAGTAAGACCTGCGCTGATCTTTTGTGCTCTGGACATCGGTAACCGGCTGATGCAGACTAATGGAAGAATAAAAACTGTTGTACCGCTTAGTTTTTTCATTCCTCCCTCTTGACTACGCAAGTTTCTTGCTCAAAAAATATACGTACTCATAAGATCTGACGTGAAATGAAAAGCCCAGGCTACATTGTCCTTTATGAGTTGACAATGTTGGTCGCGGCATTCAGCCTCTATCGACCTATAAAGAATTAGCAACACTTTCTATCAAGAAGGATAAGACAAGGCATACCAGAAACAGCCTAATCTACAAATAAAGATTAACATGAAAATCGTAGTGATGAAACCAGCAGCACAATATGCTGTGAGGAGATATAAAACAGTTCGGGTTCGTGGCGAGCGCCGTCCGAAGAGCTCGAAATATTGCGTGATGAGGGTGCCCTTGTTCAAGTACAGCTCGAGGTAAAACGTAAAAATTGAGATGTAAATTGTCTTTGGATGCAAAAACAATTAACATACTAATATTCCCTTCGGACTCTTCGAGGTGTCATTTGAACTTACTTTATAAGCGGCGGTAATATTGTCCCTTGGTGCCTTCCACTGCACCACCCCGAAATCAACATCTTCCTCAAACACTCCTATTCCGCGGTGCCATAAGGCCGTGTCAATAGCCGTGTTGGTAATCGCGGTCGCCAGTGCGAAAAGATAGAACAAGTCCCTGAGGATAAATCCTTGTTGGTGGTGGTTGAATCGTAGATCAAGTCGTGCGAGGCCAAGAATGATAGCGATGCCAATTAAGGACCACTCAATAGCCTGAACCAAAGTTAGCCGACGGTATTGAGATATAAAAGAATCAATGTATTACCATGAGCCCTTTCCCTGTGAGTTTAAGCATTTTTCCTCCACGTTAAAACAAAGAAACTGGGTTGAGTTAACATGAGTCCAACCGTGCGGCAGAGGCCACGCTCTGTGGCGATTACTAACAACAGAAGCTGCTCGTATTGAACTGGAGGAGGCAGCTCTTTTAGATTTCAAGAAAAGAAAAACTATCGAAACGGCATAATTCGATCCGCGCCACCATTATCGTTGAATATCCACAAGCTTGCGGTCAGGAATGCTAGATCTCGATCTACGCCATGTCGCTGACCCTAAGTTTACGCCGACGAACCTTTATAGCAAGATGTGGAACGTCAGCTGGATCTGGTTTTAAAACGTGCCTTGTCGATGCCTTCTATAAAACCAGCGGGGGATTCTTCCATTATCGTCAAATGCTTTGGTATGTGAATCTACTCATGCGTACATGTCTCAGAAGCCGGTCATCGGTAATATTTTCAACTAAATTCATCCCGGAGGCTAATTGTATGATGGTACGCTTGAGACAAAACAGATAAATCCGGTCCCAGAGCATGGGGATCGCCTGGTATGCTACGCTATCTCAATGTTACACATGGGAATTTTACCTTTTTTTCCTCTACCAACAGAAACCTCTCTGCAATCGTGTTAGCGGATTTTCAGATAATTTCTCGATTGGTCACCGAAGTTCCACAAAGTTTAGCAAAGGCTTCTGGCAAGGCACGTGTCCGTCTACATCGTTAGTCGAGACCTTGACACCAGTGAGACCGTTCGTCTCACTGGTATATCTCTTCACCCCACAGTAGAAATCCTTTGCGGGAGGCCTCCATTGACGAGAGGGACAAACTTTTTGTTGAGCTCTTGTTAAATATCTAGTCATGGAAAGATTCCTTGGTTACTTGGCCATCTCCTTTTTTCTAGTGCTAGCTTCGTAACTTGAGCAAATATTCAGCGATCACAACTCTCCAAAGCAAACTTAACGGCCGGCGATATCATACATAGGATCAAATCGATTTATAATATTATTGCTTCCTGTTCTCCATCATACCTCATCATCAATTAACATCCAAACAGTATATGCGTTCCAGCCGCTGTCTCTTGCCCAATCATAGAAGAGAAACCCATCCAAGTTCACCTAAGTGGGAGATACAAATCAAATTATGTAAAAATACAGGGAAAGCAACTTCGGGCTCGGATATCATAAAACGCTGTGCCTAATTAATATTACACTTAAAACCTCCAAGACACCTCATTGGGGGTTCTCAACTGCAGGCTCTGTAGGCTCGGCAAGCCAAGGGTACTCTCCAAGGAATTCCAAGGGGCGGTCCCCGTAGAAGTAAAAGGAGTCACCGATCTCATCAGAAAAGTTGAACTGAGGATCATACAACCCGGCTAGCATGCCTTCCTCATGGCCACCAGGGCATGAAGGTTCAGGTGTTTCTATGTTGCCATCCACTTTTGATGGGACTGGCAGCTCCCTCTCACTGCTAGGTTCTGGTGTCGAATGCACCGTAAGTCCTGTGGCAAAACGATTCGAAAGGTCGTTTTTAGGCTGTAGTTCATCTCCCAAGCTGCTCGCTCCATATTCTCCATCGATAGGTGTAGATTGGTATGAAGGTAAATTTTTCTTGTCAAAAGAGCTCAGCTCTATGGTTGACAACGTCGAAGCAGGAGACTTTGACTTCCGTGTTACTGGGGGCCCTTCGGGTTTGGAGGTTGAACCGGGAGTTGCAGCTGTCGTTGCTGGGAAGTATGTGTCAAAAGCCTCCCTGATCGTCTCCAAGACGCGAGATCGCAGAATCCCATATTCGGGCTCATCTTGTAGTCGCCGTTCCAAGAGACCTCTGATCTCCCGCTCGCAGTGACTAGACTGCTGCCGGATAAACTGCGTACATTGGTCTTGGCTCATAGGTCCAATAGACATATCAAATTCGCAATCTATTTACTACATCAGCATGCTGGCTGTTGAAAATCAAAAGGGACAACTTACAGGGATTCGGTATTTCGGTTTGATCTTCAAACAGAATGGTGTACATTGCTCTCCATTTCGAATCTTCGTCCCAGTTCTGTTTCCCTTTTCTAGACTTCAATCTGTTCTTGATGTCGGCCGTTACGCCGATCATGGTAGCTGGAGGCTCAATAACATCACACGGAACCTGTTGCCGGCTGTGTGCTGCCCGCTCCGTCTCCGTTTCGAATTCAGCAAAACATCTCTCACAGTGTGGAGCAAGCATATGTGTCCTATAGATATGCTCTCTGGTATCTTGTTAGTTCGTTACAAAGGGCAACACGGTCATTGAAGCCTGCTTACTTGATACGGTGCACCTCTTTGAAGGCCTTCTTCCGGCATTTTGGCCACTTCTTCTCGGGGTATCTTTTTGTGAACGGGCAAGCGAAAAGTCCGTGATCTGCCCTGTCGAGGAGGTCGGGCTCAGTCCTTCGCCTCTTGCCTTGCTCGTCATCTCCATCTTCTCTCTCGGAGTTATCGCCACCCTCGCCGAAAAAGCTCCTCTTCCGGCCAGATTTCCTTGGCCCAGAACCACTCGAGTTACTGGGGCTAAAGTTTGCACTGGAGCACCCTCCTGATCCTGACTCTCCAGACCCAATAGCGTGGGATCTCACCCATTCGGCCACTCTTGATGCGACTTGATTTACCAAATGATCTTTGAGGTTTAGTATGAATGGGAGAAGATTTGGGTCCAAAGAGGAGGCTGCAAATGCTTCGAGAAATGGATCGTCCGTTTCATCCATGTCGTCAGAAACAAGGCTCTCGTCTTCACTCGTGTCTTCGGGCTCTGATTGTTCATTGATAGAGGTGGCACGTGTTGAGACCATCTGCATTGGGGAGGCGAGAGAATTGGGCATCTCAGATGTAGAATCTGAGAATGACCGTCGACTAGATCTAGTCGGGTTCGGGGGGATAGGCAATCTGTCAAACGGGCCGGATGGCTGGATAGGGCTTGTATCCATGAACGAGTTTGCGGCGTCAGAGTTCCCTTCCGAGATGACACTGAGTGGTTTCGCGGATGTTTCCTCATCCATTTCGCCTATATTGAGCCAGCCGCTTACAGGTTCTATCTTCAAAATAGGTCTTTCCGGTCGATCGCCATTTGTCTTCTTTGTTGGTTTCTCAAAATTTTGTAGTTGGTTGGTGATATTCAAACTCTCAGCGGAAGACCGATCGATAGACTTTCTGAAGTTTCGCAGGCCAGCCGAACTTGGCGGCGTTGGCAAGGGGTTCTCATCCAGATTGACATCATTGTAGTAACTTGACAATGTGCCTGTCGAGGACGATGATAGTCTTTGTCGTTTCGATGCGGCTGGGCGGGCCTCATCTGTGATGGGGGCCTCAATAGTGCCGACTGAGGAGATGGAAATAGTTGATTGTGCCCTTCCGCTGAATATCGATTCAGTGGTCGACCCTTCGGCAAATGATTCATGCGCCCAGAGGGATGAAAATCGCTTATGCCGCTGTACCCCGTCCGGAAGCTCAGATCTCGACGAGTTGGTTGTGCAGCTCGATGTCCTTGTGGGATAACCAAACGTACTCCTTGGACTCGACTGTAAAGCCAATGAATGTGTTAGGAAACTACTAATCTCCAGGCTGGTTCGATATTCCCACTTACAAAACGAAGGTTAATGTTGTACTCATCAGAAGACCCATGCCCAACAATCGAATCGCGATACGAGTCTGGTGAGATGTGTTAGTATTGAAAGTCTGTTAATGATATGTTTAACTTGCCCCTTTGCTTTCTGTCCTGGCCAATCCCACGATCGTCTGTTGGGAGATGGCTTCCCACTCCGGTGAGGTCACGAAGCGTTGAGGCGTGTTGCGCATTCACCTGGTCATGGGCGGATTCCATGTTGTATTCCGCATTGTCTAGAAGGGAAGCAGGCACAGGCGTCGACCTTTCTAAAGCGTCCGAGCTTTCGTACGAACAAGGAGAACCCGGGACCACGGGTAATGCAGCTCTCCCATTGTTCTGTTGGCCAGGGCCATCATCACAAGTGACAAGCGAGTCTGCTGGCTTGGGTGGCCCCAATATTAAGTCCGACAATGAACGTTTGTAGGCCCGAAAACGTTCGGTCAACCTCTGCGTAGGCTTTTTGGCCTGTTGTTCTGAATTCAGGCGTCCTCCGATGTTCCGGGTCCCGATTCTCGATGAAACGCCTTGGGCGCCACGCCGGATGCGAGTAGGCAGATCCATGGTGAGCCTGCCCGATGGCCGATGGGGTGCTCAATAGGCTCCGATACTAATATACCGATAGCCTGCAGTCACCCGCTAGGTATAACTGGTGCTGTTTGCGCGAAAAGAATGTAATGGTCCGAAGTGCAAGTGGAGGGAAGAGAGGAATTGGGCACCTTTGTGCCAGGCCCTCCATTGAAGTTCAAAGAGGAGAAAATCAGCGAGAAGACGCAGGTCGCGAACCACCAATTCACCCGCCCAGCTAGAGAGTGGCCGACGCTTATTCTTAGGCGGCGGAGCCTGCATGCTGACCTTGTGTGCGTCATGCCATTGGTTTGAGATGTCAGCCCGTCAGCAGGGGCCCCGGTGATGCGGCAGGGGTTTTGCGCAAGTGAAGCAGCCTGCGCACAACTGGACGCGGAATCAGACAAGTGAGATGGATATTAAGACGCAGGCTTCTGATGCGGATAACGCGTGGCTCCGCCCTTCGAGTTTAACTGACTTTGAAAGTTCCCGTATGTGGAAGTTCAACTCGTTCTCTAGGACTCGTAGGTTTTGCGCAACGTGGACGAGTTTGGCCCGGCCAAGTATTTAAATGGAGGCCAGAAGGCACTGATGAGATGGATTAAACACACTTGATCAGAACAAATAAAAATCATACAACGATTGATGAAAAATATCCCTTCACTTGCTCGATTGCCATCCTCACACGCACATCAAGATGCCTTCCTACTCGACTACGTCGTCAATGTCTGGCAACCAAGGGTCAACCAAATCAACAGTCTCCCTAAGTTCCTATTGTGCAAGGTAAGTAAATTCATAATTTTTGTGCAAGCTCTTCCCTCCCTCCAATGATACAGTTGCTAACATACAAAATCAAAGTAGCACCAGGCAGAGCAGCAGGCGCAATCCTTCATCGGGGCTCTCGCCAGCTATGACGCGTTTCCTCGACGAGCCAAATTCGGTGTCTGCACGGATTACGCTTGGGGGTCGCACTTCTACAAACCGCCAATAGGCAGATCAATCGAGGAGGCTCATGGTCACAGTGGAGCTCGTCATGCAGGGCTGTGGCTATGTCACCAACAGCACTGGTGGCTGTGCAAATCTGCCACAGTTCTGCAGGACTTAAACGCTTGTTGGCCAAGTGCACGCCGCAGGGAGGTGAACACGAAAGACTGGCTGGTCCAGTGCCAGTATCCGTAATTAATTGTGTGGAAGGTCGTGCAAGCTGCCACCCGGATCGGAACTGTAGGTCCTATCGCAGGGGTGGTGGCACTTGATTGATGATGAAGGACTTTGTTCCGCGAACATATCATAACACGGCTGCTGTAGTATCTTGTTGTTAATATACATAATAATCTCTTCTTTACAATACATGTAACTCACTCGTAGTTACCAAGTTTTGTGTACCTAGCCAGCTTCCCTCAGCACGCAAGAATTGCTAGGAGTTGCGGCATAGGGTAGCTCAGGGATCTTGCATTGAGTCAATCCGGCCTTCAGGCTTTTCGACATGACGACTCCCTGCTTAGAAGCCCAGGGCTTTCCTTAATCCACCTTTTCGGTGATCCTGCCAGACGTCAGGGCCTATAGTAGTCGAAAGCTCGCGGAAGCCCAGAAACTTCTTGGCTCTTTCCGACAGCTCTTTTGCCTTGTCCCCCTCCAGCAGCAAAGGGTGAGCCTCCTCCGGTGTGAGTGCTGAGCTGATGACAGTACAGCTCAGTATTCTGCGATATTCATCACCAGTCTTGTTCTCTTCTCCTCTGTGCACAATCCTGCCACCCAAGAGGAGACAATCTCCAGCCTTCAGCTCGACCTGCTTGACCTCATCATCCGAGTACTTCCACAGCTCCGAAGGATTGTCCAGGGCGTTTACGTAGCTCATCCTGTGGCTGCCGCGAACAACTCCCGTCGCTCCATTCTCCTTCGTCGTGTCAGTGGCAGCGATCAAGAAGTTGACTGCGAACTCCGGCATCCATTTTTCACCCATGCTCCAGAACGGCCACCAGCCCACGGCATCGGGATGGAGTGGCTGGGCTTTCGTCCCCGGCCCAATCTCAATCATTTGCGCCGTGCTGAGCCAGTAGTCGCCGATTTCCTTGAATATTTCGGCTGAAATATTGTGGAGGCTGTCGTTGTTGACAATGTCCTCCCGAAATGTCGCGCTGGAGTTCAACATGTTCCCTAGGCGCTTCGTTTTGGCTCCAAATACGGCTGGGTCGGCACCCTCTGGGAGCGGTGCTGTATTGGCGTTGGCCGGTCTCCCGGGAGTTATATTGGCCAAAGCTATATCCATATCTCTATTCAGCCGGGCAACCTGCGAGGATGGCAGCATGGATTCAATGACGATGCAGCCATCCTCTTTCAAGGCCTTGACTACCTCCGCTGCCGGTGCTGTGCGGGCAAAGCGAGAGAAACTTCTCGACCAGATAGCGGGTGGTCTGGCTTGCGAGGATTGAGGCCTTGCAGAGATCCTCGATATAAATGAAATTCGTGCTGACATGGCTTTAGAAGGGTTAAGATCTTGATTTAGGTGAAGTAGAGAGGAATAGAGACAATGGTGTTAGGAAGATAGAGGGGGAATTGGACTTATGTCTTGCACCAACATGTTAAACATGCAGATCACCAACCGAATTCAGTAATTATCGCAACATACTTCGAATTATGTCAATTGGGCACCCTTCGTTTGATGACCATGGGTCGGCATTCTAAATGAGTCATAGTGACCAATGGTACTGTTTTTAGTTCTCCAGCTAGACATACGATTATGGGCTTAAGTAATTGATTTTTTTGTGGTTGATGATAGTCTTCCTTGATCTCTTTTGCTTTAGTACTTATTAAATGATCGCCGTCCTGATAGTCAATAGTTCTCTAAGTCTGGTTTCAAGGCTTAGCAGCATCAGAATTTGAAAGATTTGGTTGTGGAGTTTCTACGGATTTGGAGTTAAGCATCCTTCAAGTTCAGTCTGCCTTTGAGGGTGTTAATAGCCCGAGTTCATCCATCTTGGTGCACCCGAAATTTTTAGGGTACCTACCTAGTTGGACAGCTTACATGTAGCGGCTGGCTCTGGCAATCAGAAGCTAAACTCCACCTCTTGCCAGGCCAAATTAGCCGAAAATGTAAGGCATAATCAGATTGGGATGCCACCACTACCAAGCAGTCGAGTCAGCCCAGCCTCCTTGCTACCCCATCTAGAACAAAATCGATTATTTGTAACTATGCCCACAAATCAAAAACTACATCATCAAAACAGTCCCTCCTCAAGAATGGCAAAGCGATTCGTAAAGTCTTTGATACGGCGCTGGCCTAATGATTCAAGCAAAAGAGAGGAACATGGATCGCCTGTGCCGAGCGCCGTTGCGCGGGACCAAGACGACTCGTTGCCCCTACCTCAGCCCGTGGTTCCAAGGCGAGACAATGGCTGCACGGCATGTTCAACCTCGAGTTCTCTGAAGCGCTGCCTCGATAGTTGGGATACGATTGATGATTTCGAAGACGAAACTGTTCTCTACTCTTGGAAATTCGAGCCTATCCATCGGCTACCTCCCGAAGAACAATTGCCGCCGTGCGAGATGTGCACCACGATCCAAGATGAGATTGGCATTGTAGGCGAATGTCGTGACCGACGGGAGAATCTGATGTATTTGAAACGAAACATCTTAATGTCACCTAAATGAAAATGAGGCGTGAAGCTTACATATGGTTGACCAGGAAATATCTTCAGATCTGCTCCAATCTCACGAAATGGATCGAAGAAGTCAAGGCTAGTCAGCCTATCTCGCAATCAGCCATAGAAACAAATATCAAAATGGAACAGAAACTACAGAGCTGTAAAGATCTGTTCAAAGCTAAGATTTCAGTAATGGATCGGCCGGGATCCGTGGATACACCTTCACAGGCTCTCGATTGCGGTAGCCAGCTGGACCAGGCACTACAAGAGGCCAAGATACTTTACTCCGGCCAGGTGCTAACTGCTGCTTTCAATGAATCCATCCCGCTGTGCGAAAATATACTGCGTGTCATGCAGCAGCCACTATCTCGGCACCAAGGATCCGAGTTTTGTGCATGGTGCAATCACGAAGGCGAAGGCCTTTCCCCAGAGAGTCTCGATGGTCTAGTCAGCCGACTGCATCGTCTTCACCCAGCAGGCCTAAATCAAGCTTTAAAGGACCATCCTATCCCATGGTGCAGAGGGTCCTACAAGCGAAGTCTAATAGACAGAGTTCAAATTCGATTACAAACAGAGGAAACCTGGAAAGGTTTACAATTTCAGGAATATGAATTAGACCCATCAAAGCCTGCGGGAAATCACGCTACACTCAGGCCTGATGATGAAAATCAAAGGACTGCCAGAAACCCAACTGAGGAAGGCTTCCGCGCGATTCACCGTCAGCTATCAAAGGATGAGGCGCTCTACGTTCCCATTTCATCCGACAAACCGTGCTTCGCCCGCATTGTGCAACCAAGGTTTGATGTCAGTCTTATCAACGAGTGGTTAAAAAGATGTCATTCTGATCATGGAAGCCGATGCATCACTGAAACATCCGGACCAAAACCTAAGAATCTTATCCTGGTCGACACAGAGAAGAATTGTCTGGTTACTTTGACGGATGGACACACACCGCCGTATCTTGCCTTGAGTTACGTGTGGGGTGGGGTCCCGCAGGCACAACTGACCAGATTAACACTGGATAATTGGCATGAGCCGGGGAGCCTCACAGAGGAGGTGACAATTACCCAAAAGGTTCGTGATGCAATGGTCATCACTAAGCAGACAGGTTTGCGGTTCTTGTGGGTTGATGCGTTATGCATCGTCCAGGATGATGATTCTCAGCGACAAGAGCAGATCAACCAGATGTTTCTTATATACCACCAAGCGGAGGCCACAATCGTGGCAGCTGATGGACCAAGCTGCGACTTAGGCCTTTCGGGTGTCAGCAGATTCGAAGAGAGAGAATATATTGATAAACCCTTTCTTATTCAAAACACACCCATGGCGAGAGTTCTTCGGGATCCACGACAGGCTCTCCAAGCGTCCAAGTGGAGGACAAGAGGCTGGACACTTCAAGAAGAAGTCTGCTCTACGAGAGCAATCATATTTCTACCATCTGTGGTCTTGTTTTCATGCCCAACGGCGGCTTGGAGGGAGGATCTCCACCTGGAAAATGTCCAGGATCCTCGGGGGGAGTCTGTTCTTAACCCGTTGCCGAGAGCTTTGGAGAATAGCGGTACGAGTTCAGATGAGGAGCTAATATCCATGTTCCGAAGAATTGTGAAGCAGTACACCCAACGGACTCTCACCCGAGAGGATGACATGGGGAATGCGTTTGCTGGAATTTCAAGGATGATGGAGGGTCTCATCGGGCCAATATACTATGGAATTCCAGAAAGGTACTTTGCTCAGATAATATCTGGCTGTTGGTTCTGGGGGATATGCTGTGCTCGGCGACCTGCATTTCCTAGTTGGTCTTGGATGGGATGGATCTACACCAGGGAGCAGGCGGGTACGGGGATTGAGCCCACATCTTGGCCTGGAGAAACGGCAGGCTTGCTTACCTTCTTCAAACTTGCTGATGGCGCTGAGATGCTTCCAGAACCAGTTTTGGAATCACCCGTCTTGAGCAGTCTTCAGCCTGGACTACGCGAACATTTCATCCCTGATTTACCGCAGATACAGTCGCAATATGCTGCCCTATCTCCCGACCTTGAGCAAATACCCCGGGGGCTAATTTGCTTTTACACTAGCTTGAACTTCCTGAAGCTACGGCCTTTGTATCAAAACGCTGCATCGTCGGTTCAGGAATACCTTGTCCTTAGCCCAACAACCGAGGAAAGACTCACAAGTCTCTATCTGAACAAGGAACAGGTCAATGGCGAGGAATTGCAGCCGTTTGTTGTTATCGCAGCTCAGCGTGGTGAGGTTGGAAAGACAGGCTTGAGACTTATGTTGGTCAGGATGACTGAAGGCTTCTGCTTCAAAGTCAATGTGACGTCCCAAAGGAAGCTTGTAAATGAAGCTGCCTGGTGGGACTTGAACCCATCAAAACGGCTGGTTGTGATGGGATGAGGGTTAGCAATCCTGCAGAACTACGAAGTTACTAAAGCCGTCTATTCTATTAGTAATAAGAGCTGGCTCTTCTTGAGAGAAATCCTACGACTACCTTCAGCCTGGGCTGGAGCTGAAGATTCAGACAGCATGTAGGTTAGAGCAGGGTTGGAGTTGGTGCAATTGGCTGTTTCTCAACTAGTGTCAGGCACAGGCCAAGCCAAGCTCATGGTAATAATGAAGGAAATTTAAAAATAAACATGATCCTACCAGACTATTACCGGCATCACTTTTCATAAATCTTTCGAGCAATGTCCAATGGGGCCAGCCTTGAGCTTATTTGACCAACAACCAATTGTGCACTTGGGAATTGGCATTGAACGAACGCCAGCGGGTGATTGGGCGAGTGCCTGAGGTCTCTGCGCGGTGGAGATTCTGTAAATGATGATCGCATACAAGCGGTTCAAGGGTGATGGAAGGAGACTTTCATGTCTTGCAGAGGGACTAAGCCGGTGTCGGGCCGAGCTGCTGAAATGAAATTGCCTGTGGGCATGGCTGATCCTCAGGCCAAAATTTGTGTCGCCCTCGCCGAGAAGTGCAGGAGAAAAGTCATCACTGGCCCAACCAACACCCTTGACCTGAGTGGATGAGACGCTCGAGCAATTGCCGTTGGCGGGCGCCGCAGATGCAACCCTGTGGTTCGGCCATTGCGACGAGGCATCACAAATCCATCTCTCAGCATGACGGCCGCTGATATCGCGGATATGTCTGGGCCTATGAGGATTGGTGAATCGTAGCACGGTGACTCGAGCCAGGGCGGATTGGGCTTCTCACGTCTGCACACAGCAGAATCAAGAGGCTCTTCCCTGTGCCGAATTCCGACCTTGGCCAAGCCGGAGTGGAGCTTGGCCCCCGTCCTCTTGCAGCTTTCTCACACGACACTATTCCGAAGCTGGCAAATGCGATTCCTGCACTTTGCCTGCAACATTCAGCCAAGAGGAGGACAGGATTAGCCAATTTCCCTTGGCAACGACGGTTTTTTTGCTTGTGATTCTTGCTGTGGATGGTCTGCTCGATGGTAGATGGGATGTCGAAGCTGGGGAGGGAGGGAGGGAGCGAGATGGAGAGGTGGACGCCAGCTCGCGTTACCATATGCCTTCTCCATCCCGTCGAACGGCAGCTGACGCGGCTGCTGTGACCGACGATCCCTTGATGCTTACCCGACCATCTCCTAGTCGACGGCGACACGCGGGACGCTGCGTGAGGTTTACTAGCGACTGGTTGCCTCCTCAATTGCCACACCTCCCCGTCCTTGCTGGTTCCACTAAATTTGGCAGGATTCCCAGCGGACGACAAACGGCCCTCCCTCGTTCGTTATACCCTCCTCCGAACCAATCTCCATACTCTTGGCTTTATCTCTCCGCACGTGCTCCATGTTACATGGCCGAACTCTGTCGTTGAAATCCCCACGTGCTGTAGCTTTGGCCCCGTCCCTCCCTGCTCTTGGCTATCTCTGGGGCTAAACTTAGATCTATAAAGTCGCCTTCAGGGCACCCTTCTTCCCTTTTTGAAACCTGCTCGTTCGTGTGAATCATATGTCAGGAAAGTTGAGCACAGGCCAACAAAAGTACCCGGTGACTGTACAATTGAATCTTCGACGACGCTTCGAAGCCACGCGACTGGTTCACCATGTTTGACCTGTCATTCAAGAAGCGCTCCCGGGATGGGGACTCAAACGACCTCGAGGCCCCCGTCGTCCCTGAGCGTGCGCCCAAGCCCTTCTGGGAGGCCATCATGCCCGTCTTCGCCTGCGGTGCTGGTCTCTTCTCCGACGGCTACATCAACAACGCAAGTCCCACACTGGAAATCCACCAGCCGCGCCGTTGTGGACGTGAGATGATACGCCGGGGAATGTCGTAGCTAATACTTGCGCCTACAGGTCATTGGTTCCGTCAACACTGTGCTCGCCCTGCAGTACGGCGCGCTCTACAAGAACAACTCTGCCTCGCAGAATGTCTCTTCCATCGCGTTTGCGGGCACTGTCGTGGGCCAGCTTGCCTTCGGTTATCTGTCGGATGCCTGGTCCCGCAACAACGCCCTTGTTCTCTCCACCATCATCTTGATTATCTTCACCATTCTGGCCACTGGATCCTACTACAAGGGAGAGCCTGACGGCATGTTCGCCATGCTTACTGCCTGGCGATTCTTCGTCGGTATTGGTATCGGAGGTGAATATCCAGCTGGCAGTGTCGGTGCTGCCGAGTCCACTGGTGATCTGAAGAAGGGTTCCCGCAACAGATGGTTCATTCTGTTCACCAACTCCATGATCGATTGGGGCTTCGTCATTGGAGCTTTCGTCCCTTGTGAGTGAATACTGATGTCGTGATATTGTCGTAGAATCCTGTGACTAATTCGCCGTGGGTAGATGTTGTTGCCGCTGCTGCCAAGAACGCGCACTACGGGACAATCTGGAGAACGAGTTTAGGTATTGGTGCAGTTTTCCCCATCGTGCTTCTTGTTCTTCGTTTCAGACTCAAGGAGCCCGAGGAGTACAAGAAGGAGTCTATGAAGAAGGAGACCCCTTACGGCCTTGTCTTCCAGTTCTACGGGTTCCGTCTCTTCTGCATCAGCCTGATCTGGTTCCTCTATAACGTAGGTCATCGCGTGTCTACCCCGAGTGCTTAAATGCTAATCCGCAGCCAGTTCTCATCCTATGCTTTCGGTATCTACTCTTCCTCTATCCTGAGCGGTATCTACGGCGACGATGCCCCCCTGACAACTATTTTCGGCTGGAACACCGTCATCAACTTGTTCTACATCCCCGGTACTTTGATTGGTGCTTTCGTCAGTGACTGGCTCGGCCCCAAGCACACCCTCGCCACTGGTGTTTTCGCCCAGGCTATTGTCGGCTTCATCATGGCCGGTGTCTATGTCCACATCACCAAGTCCATCGCTGCTTTCGCCGTCGTTTTTGGAATCTTCCAGTCCCTCGGCGAGTTCGGCCCTGGCAACAACATTGGTCTCCTTGCTTCCAAGACCTGCGCCACAGGCGTCCGAGGTCGCTACTACGGTATCGCAGCTGCCACTGGCAAGATCGGTGCCTTCGTTGGGACCTGGGTCTTCCCTTACATCGTCAAGGCCGGAGGCGACAACGAGGTCACCTCAGCCCAGTATCCCTTCTGGGTCGCCTCCAGCCTGTGTATCCTCTCCGCCGCCATCTGCTTGTTCCTCGTCCCCTACGTCGGGCAGGACACCATCGCCGAGGAGAACGCCCGCTTCCGCGCCTTCCTCGAGAGCAAGGGCTGGGACACCACCCAGCTTGGATACGAGTCGGAGGAGCCCAAGGCTGAGCCCGAGGCTATTACCGAGGTCCCCAACAAGGAGACCCAGTAGATAGATGATATGTCTACTAAATGGTCCCAAAGTATCTTAATGATAATTTTCCAGCTCATCTAGCACATCATAGCCTAAATATACCCTGGGTGATGACACCCTCTCTCCCAACTACCCAACCCTTATACGTGTTAATTGACCACAAGCCTAAGGCAACGTGCGCCCTGAGTGTGCCTGACGTGACATAGCACTCGGGAGCCCAATTTCGTGCATTCCCAGACGCAGGTCCACGGGGGCCGCAACCGAGACCTCGTCAGGTCTCAATTCTCGATTGCCACGTGTTGAAGCGGTATTGCGCGCAACCGTCCCGGTAATCCCATCCCCGGTGGGCGCTGCCACATGTTTGCCAGCTCAACTCAGGGGCGCAGAGGAGACGCCAGAATGGGGAAAAGAAAGGAAAGAAGGAAAAAACACACGTACATTTAATCTCGCTTTTGGCTCCCGGATGGCTCGCTGCCCCCGTGACCGGGCCTTCACGTAAGACAGCAATGCATTGCAAGCCTAAAAAAGATTTTGGCTATTAAGTTGCACAGGCGCGCGCGAGTATATTAATTGTATGATCGCATGCTCCTCTCATTGTACTTTGTTGGGATAAAAAAACTTGCAATCGCTTGTCTTACACTTTTTTCTTGGTGGATTTTGCGTGTCTAATTAATCGGATTTAATACGGGCGGCATTTGCGCTAGGTGCCGACATACACACGAGCGACAAGACTTAAAATCCTGACGAAATGAGAGGTGAGAATGCATAAACTGCAATTAATCACGCTTGATATTAATTCCGTCATCTAGAAATCACATTCAGGATTGTGGGGGAGGATACGCTGAGGCGGAGGCTCGAAAACCTCTCGGCCCACAGAAGAGGACAATCCAGTTCAAGCATGGATGAGCTCGAGTCGTATCTCATGATATCCGGGAAGGACTATACGCCGTCGCTTCTTCGGGCGTACATCCTCAGCACGGCCCAGAGAATCATGATGATCAAACCTCACAACGAGGCCATTGAGGAAGACCCCACCTTCCAGGTTGACCCGGACATATTTCTCGCCTTCTTCCCTGACCAGAGGGTGGGAAGGCAGCAGCTGAGGAAGCTGCAAGAGAAAGAACGAAAGGACATGGCCAGGTTCGAAAAAGAACAGAGATTCTCGAGAGCCCTGGGGCTTTCCTAGCCGGTTTGGAATTAATTTGGCGACGGAAAGGATTTAGATTATCGCCTTGACAAGAAACACGAGCCCAGGTCTCAAACAACGACTGCTATCCGCTTTTTGGCAATTGGAATCTCCAAAAAGAGAAGAAAAAAAAAAGAAAAAGAAAGAAAAACAGAATGCAGCAGCAGTAGATTGGAAGCAATCACATTGAGCCGGTGTATCGGGACAGGAGGAAGGTGTTCACAGGGTTGAACGGTTTGATTTATCATCGGATTGAAATACATGTACTATCACCACAAATTCCGGGCTTATTACTCCCGCAGTTTTGTTATCTGGGAATGTTGATGGAGGTCTTCAATTAGAAAGAATGGAATTGTGAATTGTATCAAGAGTCTTCTTTCCAGGTGACAGAGAGCCGCCGTTTCAAGGCCCTACTTTAACCCCCCGACTTACAATAGAAAGGATTAGATTGCGAGACATAAGGCGGATGTACGCTTCAATAGAATATACTTTTTGCTAGGAAGGACAAACACAGTTTTGTACGCGCCTTGGCACTCTGGTGATCCATCCAACTGGAGCTTTCAAGTTCGCATTTTTAAGGACATTTTCATCCCTAATAAATGCACTTACTTTTAAATGATATTTCTTAGCTGTAGTAGAAGAGCAAGACTCAATGGCACAGCCGCGGTCATAGTGATATACGTAGTGACAACTCAATCAGTTGAACAATGAGCGCAAGGTAAAGTTCCCTTGGATTGTACTGCTGTGGCGGCAGGTGCCATTGTCAAATTTCTACTGTCTTAGAATCTTGTCAAACATGCCATTTCTCGAACCTGAATCGTCTACGTCACTTCCCCCACAAGCCCCTTCGACACCGGTGTAACTATGAACCAAGTTTCAGATGACGTTGGGTGTATCCTCTGGAATCAATCTGGCGTTCATGGAGTTAGTGGCGAAAAGGCCTTCGTCATCAGAAACAGACGGTCAGCCGTGCGGTTCCGGCTTGGAGTCGATTGATGTTATCAAATGGATTGACTGCCGTACGTCGCATATCTTTATTTGTCGTTTCTTGATAATTATTAAGATAGAAGGACAATTGGTGTCTTTCCAAGGTCCGAAGCGACGGCGATACGTGTTCATCACCGTGCGAAGCACACAGCATCGGCAGGGATCAGTTGCCCTTGAACCGTGATACTTGCCAACTAGTGTCATGTTAGTTCCCGAGGAATGAACGGAACTTCGGACGAGCTACAAAGAAGAAGCTGCGACATTGTTACAGGTCATGTTGTTCGGGCCTTTCAAGGGACAGCCATGTCGTCGAGATACCACGTATTGGAGAGCATTCATCCCTGTACTGTCATAGAATGTGAAACATGCTGCCGTCCCGGGCCTGTTTCCCAGTACTTATTGCCAAATCGAAATATGGCCTGCCAATAATACATCAACCAAGGGCCAAGATTCCACGGGGGCTATGGGACGAGTCAAGACTTGCCGTAGGCTCCGCATCGTGTTGGTAGTCGGGTATGTGCACTCTTCGTGCGGATCGTCAATGATGCACTTTGTGACGTATGCATTCGACGCAATTACCTAGCCTGTAGTTGTCAAGTTGCTATGGAAGCGTCAATATTCGAGCTATATAAACGCTCTCTGCCTCCCAGTCTAGGAGTTGCCAAACATCCTCAACCTCACTCATCAGTTCATCAATTCATCGACTCATTCGGATTCTACATCTTTCTAAACAACATCTTACTCCGTCCAAAATGATCGCTAAATATCCCATCATTCTTCTCGCCTGCGTTGCGAGTGTCCTTGCCGCACCCTCCACCGGGGCTGGTCAGGTTGCCCGCGATCAGACGCCGGCTGGTGCGGACAACATTCTAGACGAGCGCAACGCGGCGAACGACTGTAGGCGCGAAGGCGACCGTACGTGTTAAGTTTACACTCCTTCATAAGGCCCAACTAATCATTTCAATAGATTGCAAGTTCAACTTCGAATGTTGCTCCCGCCACTGTGGGTATACGTCTGGCTTTAAGTGTACCCGATAAGGGCCTAGCATCAATGGGAACGGCAAACTACAACTCCCCCTTCGGAGCCATGAAGCGACTTGTGGACTGGTATAACTTGGGAAAATTCTGTTATGTTTAGATTAGGAACTGGTTTGGCAGTGTCTACGTTCGTTCAACGTCCCTTCAGACTTTATGCGAGCTTCAAAACTACAATAGCATGGAGGATACTTCATCGGGAAGTCAAGGGAGTGATGTTTTGCGTGGGAACCCATCACATGGCTGAGTCTATTTTTCTCCTTCATTCGATACAAATAAATGGCATTCTTTCAATGAAGTCCGTCGAGAGTGCAGTTTATGGAACCCGGCCCAAAGAAGGGCGGCTGGCTGCCGTAGTCTCCAACCCCTGGCTTTAGGCAAAGAAAATTTCAATAAATGGCAGTTTGTCAATAGCCAGGATGCCCACTGATTTACCATTGGAGTAGACATAAGTAAGTGTCAAAGCATTTTATCAACAATAAGTTTGCTTATACCTTTGAAATATCCAATTCACAAGCATGCAAGAAGTTAAAAGATCCTGTAGCGTTAGAAGGCCCGTCAAAAGCTACTGAACGAAGGAAAGGCTTCCTTGCGTCCACATTTATATTCAACCCGATCTCTCCCTTCTGCCAATCTCTGATCCTCCCTATGTCGATTAAGAAAGGGCTGACGCAAGGTGCTGACGTTAATGCCACTGTTCCGGGTACTGCTGTCAGCCCAACGATCTACAGGCGGCGTCTGGATGCCGACTATGCCGATGATATGCTGCCGGCGCTATTCCACAAACGACAAATCCATTCGAGCTCGTTCTCGTTCCCAATAGAGAATCCACTGCATAAACGACAACCCTATCAGGTTTACTCTCGCCACCCTGTAATATCCATTCTTCACGAAGTTTGATGGGAGTGACTCGCCATCCTAGATTAAACCACTATCAATTGCCTCTCTATTGTTGTGGCAGTACAACCATGCTGCATAGTGAAGCACAAGACAAACGTGTTTCTGGCTGCGATAGAAGTTGCCAATTCATTTAAAAATTAATTGGGCATTTAATTATGCCAGGATCTTCTCATAATCGGGCTAGACGATGGCTTTGTTCTAATTTCTCCGTAGTTTAGTGTTGGGCTGAAGTGCCGCGCGGGCCGGAGATGATGGTGAACGTCGGCTTCCACACATGTCAGCCATACGTAGACCTCGACCAGACTCGTCTCTTATAGCCATATCTAGATTAGTGACCCATCAGTTACACATGGTGCCCGGTCTGTCATGTCTAGAATAGGTAATCCATCAGCCAAGTGGGCAGACCAGGCTGTGAAGCAGCTGGTACGACGAATAGGTCGGAGAAAGGGCATCCTCGCGAACGCGACGGACATAATACGTATAAATAGTAGGATTCATCCTCCTTTCAAGAGTGTGGAAACCACTTCTTCAAGCTTCACTCTCAGATCATCAGCCTCTCCAACACTACCATTTCAATATCAGTCACGATGCGCATCATAAACACCTTCTTCGTCCTCGGGGCTGCCCATGTGGTGAGAAATATTTCATCCCTTCGATCAATTCTTTTCTTTTTCTTTGAGCACATGTGTCTAATAGTGGTGTAGCTTGGACAGCAGCAAGAGAACTCATCAAGCATCATCTACCAATTAAGCAGCGACCCAGAGTTCGCATTTCTTTTAGAAGAATACATGAGTCTTTCCAACGGTGGAGGGGCAAATACCGGAGAAGGTATGTCTTTGCTCAAGTCACGTTTCTAGAATAAGTATTTCTTCCTGGCAACATAGATGGTCTAACTTTGGATTGATTGATCTCCAGTTCTCCGACTTGCCAGCCAAATTACCCCTGGCGACTTCGAAAGCTGGTACTCTGAGTTCAAATACATGGCTGATGCACTGCATGAAAAGGCGGACGCCATCGACAAGAAGCGTTTCCCTGTTTCAGCCCGTGACACTTATTTCCGCTCTGCCAGCTACTATCGGGGTGCCGACTTTTTCCTCCATAGCAACCAGAGTGATCCTCGTATTTTCAGCCTCTGGGACTCGGCACTGGCCGACTTCGACACGGCCACCAGCCTCTTACCAAATCCGCCCTTTAGAAAGAATCTAACTGGTGACAGTTTCGACATCCCGATCATGTTTTTCCCTGCAGCATCTATTGGCCATGGGAATCACAATGCATCTCGGCCCCAGGAGAGGATCCCTACCGTTATTGTTGGTAGCGGGTATGATGGCTCGCAGGAGGCTATCTATCATTCAATCGGACGCGCCATCACTGAGCGTGGTTGGAATTATGTGAGCTACGAAGGACCAGGTCAGCCCACTGTGCGCCGGCAGCAGAAGATTGGTTTCATCCCGAATTGGTGGGACGTCGTCACCCCGATCGTTGATTACTTGGAAAGTCGCCCAGATGTCGATCCTCGAAAGATTGCTCTCGTCGGCGAGTCATTCGGCGGGACTCTTGCGCCAATGGCAGCATCGAGGGAGCACCGCATCTCGGCCGTGTTGGCCATCGATGGCCTTATGAGCCTGTTCAAGGCTCTGACTTCTCAACTTCCAGACTCCCTCAACAACCTCTTTGCCAGCGGAAACTCGGAGGTGTTTGACGAAACCATGCTTGGCATAATGAACAACGCAACCACGCCAACACAGTTCAGATGGGTCATTGCGCAAGGGTTGTGGTCCTTCAACACTACAAGTCCATTTGAGTGGTTCACCCGTTTGAGCAAGATCGCGCTCGACGAAGAAATAGTGGCAAATATCACTTGCCCTACTTTTGTCGGGGATGGTGAACATGATACTTTGGCAGGATCAGGCCAGCCTCAGGAGTTAGCCGCAGCCCTGGGTAGCTTGGCCACCTATAATCAGTTCAAGCAAGACCTAGGCGCCGGAGAGCACTGCCAGATTGGTGCTGAGGCCCAATTGGCTCAAGTGTCTTTGGACTGGCTGGGAGATGTTTGGGATGGGATTAAACTGCCCAACAATATCACGGGCGGTACGTATTAAGCCAGCCAGAACTTCTGAGATACACGTCTAGGTTGGAATGAAGGACACAGGTATACAATGGGAAACTTCCAATACATGAGCGTTAACAAATGGCTGGAGTGAATCAGATCCAAAGCTTTTTGTATTTTGGGGGCTTTGATTGGAATTAAAGGTTACACTAGCCGCGATAAATACATATGTTGTGACTTATTGTATTGTATTTCTCTCAAACAAACACAGCAAATGTGTCCTTTTTACCCAATCAAGAATGAGAGAAATGTGTCAGGTAGCGATACTCGTGTAAGTCTTATCTAGATCAAAAAGTACAGCTTAGCTATGGCTGGCCTGACTTCTCTCCTGGATACTAGCCCTCGTAAAATGATATGTTGTGTGTACAGCTCTACAGCTTTGTTTCCAGTACCTTGGAAAGTATATGGCCACCAATGAATCTCAGTCACGCTCACAGTGATACTTGATGTTTTACCATGAGCTATTATAGATACTTGCCAAAGAAGTCACCAACTTGGCTATACCCTCGCTTGTACTCGTTCAGATTGTCCTCATTCTTGAGGTTTGCCCGAGCACCCATCCATCCATGAAACATGGTCGGGTAGGTCTCTACGACACCGGTTTTGCCAGGCCGAGAAAATACCTCTTTACACTCTGCTACGATATCAGCAGGCTCACCCGGGGAGGCAAGGAGAATGTGAGGTACGTTCGTAGCCTCCGCGTCTTTGGTTTCCAAACGGCTGTATTCAATAATTAGTCATTGGTCCAATTTGCAATCCTGCATAAGCTGGGATGACAGATAGCGAGAAAGGAACAGTCGTACCCTGGATGAGCTGTTCCGCTCACTTTGAATTTGCGGCCCTTGCCCTCGTTGGCCTCCCCACATGCCAGAATGGCAATCTTGCCCTATCAAAATATGTGAGATTGATTGTATTGGAATTTGAGTATGCCAGTTATAATTGAACTTACACCCCAGCAAAGACCAAAGATTCCAATGTGATCCTCAACGGAGGGCCACTTGTCGCCAATGTCCTTTCGAATTTTGGCCACCTTATCAATGTTGGAAGCAATGTCTGCGGAGCCAGACATGAATTCCTGGAGAATGGCTTGCTTTTCGGGCGTGTCGGGGGGAATTGCCCCTTTGTCAAGTGATTTCCCTTCGAATAGATCCGGGACAAACACAAGTGCTGAGGTGTGTCCGGCCAAGCGATCTGCGCCCTGGATCGTCTGAGATGCAACCCCAAATATGTCATAGATGTCAATAATAGCCTTGTCTGCATCCTCAGATCCAACAATGTCTATGATTTGGTAAGTATATATGTCACGATTGGGCGACTAGACACGCGGCGACGAACAAGTGTTTATCCCAGCAATTGTCTCCCATCTGCCTTTGCCATTGTAGTCGGCAGTCAGCGGGGAAAGCTCGCAGCACGCCTTGCTAGCCATTTTCGATGTAGTAGAAAAGTGAAGAGAACAAGAGAGGCAATTTGCTCTGGATTGGAGATGAGATGTTCCGTCAAAGGGGGGACTCCGGGTTGAAATATCTGTAGAATTGTGCATACCTTACGTCATGGCTCAGGTACGAGGACGGAATTAAAACACCAGCAAACGGTCGGATTTTAGTTGCTGGTCTGAAGTGCTAGTTATGGCCAATAACGAGAGCTTATTGTGGTGGAATCCAGCAACGCAACAATGATATCGGCACCGATTCGGCAAAATAGGTTAGTCCCCAACGACAGTCCAACCACCTGCTAAGGCCTATGAAGATAAGAGGTCATTCTCCTCCTTTGATCTGTAGGTTTGTACATTCGTCGGGATGGATTTATGACACCACCTTGCAGAAATATTAAATGTGGAAATAAAAATGCGATGCCCCGTTCTTCAGTTTGGTTCTTTTCTTTGTGCGCCAACTAGCCTAGGTCTTATGCTCAGTATTTAACCAACACAAGGATAGTAGGAGATATTTCTTTACTTGTGCAGTTATTAAATTTGCATTAGTATTTAAAAGTAAGC